AAACCCGGGGACAGAAGAAGAGGAGATGGTAAATTTATGGCTATCTGTTTTTGGGCTTGATGTTTCGAGCACGTAGAGCGTAATTGCTTTTGAGCATAAGTAGATGGTTGCAATCTATTTACAGCATGAGAAACTCCAAAGTTTTAGGCTCATATGCTACCTTGTTCTGGAATAAAAAACATAACCTATATTTTTGTACTTAAAGTTGTGAGAAAGAACACAGTTAGGCTAAAAATATACATGCGGGTCTCACTTCCCAATTGCTTACTTCGTGCATTGAGCTTTTGCAGCGTCTCATTCATCCAGCAAGGGCTGCTATGTCAACTGTTGGGCGCAAACGATTTAGTTGCTTGCTAAAAAAGCTAGAGAGAAGAAATTAAAGCAAACATCATCGAATACCTCAAAATCGCACAGCGTTACTCGTGGGAACATGCCCGTTTGTTCCCATTCAACTTCATGCACCAAGTCACGCAGTAATGAAAAACCATAAGCCAAATCATCCGCATCCAACAGATGATTCAGTAAAAAAAATTGTAATAACACGTTTGCGGAATATAATATCTGCAAAAAACAACTGATTTCCGAGGGTAAAAACAAAAAATGCTGTCAGCCCGTTCTTAATTTTCAGTATTGGCTGCTTTCAGACAGCAATCTGAGGCCAGCGGAACGAAGAACGAAACTGCCACCATTACACGGTTCCTCCGACTGTCTTATCAATAAAAACCTGGAAATTTTGTCAAAAACTATTTATAGTCACTTTTTGCCAAGAGTTTTGGGACAATGTGGTCAGCTAGCTGAACATTTTCTCACGTGGAATTAAAAAAAGAATGTTGCTGACTAACCTTAATGCCAATGTACAACATAGTTACATAGCATCCACAGTGCCTTCCACACTGCCCACCAAGCTGTGCAAAGGAAAAGCAAGCACGTCGATGCCCTTGTCTTTCCAAATGCGTTAGCTGGAACAAGCTACTGCCAACGAGTAAGCAAAGCAAAATAACTACCTGTCCTATCAAGTCTATGACTTCATTACAGTTCTGCACAGTATTGCAGATGATATTCATTATTAGGTTGTTGCACACTTGTATCAAGACCCGCGTGCGCTGGCGCTGATTGGCTATGATGAATCTGCGTTAAAAACCATTGACACAATGAGAGAAGGGAAGGAAAAAATTGTTGGTTCCTTATTATGCGTTTTTATGCGTTTTTGCCGTGCAGCGCTAGAGCGCTGCAACAGGCAGCAAAAACGCAT